GATTGATTTTCTATTTTTGTCAATGTCCAATAGTGTTGGACAGTGACCATTCTCTCGATAGGACTAACGAAACCTGGTTCTCGCACATACTTGTCGAAAAGAGCCATCAATCACTAACCGAGATTACTTGGATGAGTCACACTAAAGATTTACTAATTACCCTTCTTTCCACCACCATTTATATCTCACAAGCTGATCATAAGCATTATAACCTTGTTTAACGATGAGACTGATAGCCAAACATAAAGCCATGGAGGTGTCATCTGTCCATTGACCAGGTTTTAAGCCCCATGTACCACCACCGACAAGATCTGTTACTGGATTTTGTTCCAAAAATGAGCGGGGTCGGAACTCTACATGAGCTCCCATTGCATCGCCGATTGCCATACCCAACATTGAACCGGATACTCGTTTATCTGCATTGTCTGTCGTAACTGATGGAGATTTTGGATGTATTTGATGGGGCTGAACAATTTTATCACTGGAATAGAATGTCAGCTCACGCCACGCTAAGAAAAGAAAGAACCTCTGATATTAAACAATTAGATCTTCTTCAATGTGAGAGCGCAAGACGAGCAGTAGGTTTCATTTATGAGGCTCTAATACACATAAAAAACTCAGCAAAGATTATGCTTTACCCTTCTCATGATCCAATTCATGATTTATTGTCTTGCTAGCTGACTGCTCTTCGAAAGTTCTACGGTCTTGGTCGATATTCGGACTTTGCTGGTTGTTTGCTAGATGGCGAAAGTAAACAAATGTTAATTGAAGACTGACGAGGAGATAGTCGAGGAAAATGTTCAGCGAGTCCGATTTCAGACTAGTATAATTTTCCGTGGATTCGGACTGGAGATGTTTGCAATAGACTCGTACCTGAACTTGAGTTTTTGTTTCGAATCCGATTGATTCAAGCTCTTACAAAAATCAACAGGAAAATTTTCAATTTTTCAATACCATTATGTGATATATAATAGAAGTTTAATTGTGTAACTTTTTCTGTTATAATAGGGTTGATATGTTGTAGGGGAAAAGAAATATAAATAACAAGAGCCAAAAAGGTTTGAAAAGATTGTGGGACTCGAAACAGACTTGGGATTCGGACTCGCGACCGCGTTTCAAGGACTTTGCCTCGTTTTGCTTATTTTATGACTCGAACTCGGCCTCCGTACTCTCGCGGACTCGTTATGCTTTAGTTTGAATAACAAACTGTCATATTATTGCCATCTTATGTAGAACCGAACTATTTATTTTGAACGTCATCATCATCGTTTTGCGACTGAACCAATTCTTAATGTGGGTTATCGCAAGTTTCAGCGGGCTTTCAAGACTCGCTTGCTCTTTTATGACACTTATATCACGATCATTAGTCAGGCATGTATGTCAGATGTAAAATTCATCATCATCATCACTCCTACTCTTCATTGGAATGAGAGCCTTAACTGCTGGTTCGTCTGACATGTTTTTAATTTAACGATGACATTTTGAAGTATGAGTTTTGATTCAATGCTGTTTAGTTGAAAACTGTGCCATAACAACTTCTTCTCATGTCAGTAGTTGTCATTACAAACACTTTCACACATATTCACAAGAGTCGTCGGACTGACTCATCTTGCTAGTTATGACAGTTTTGCCTTCCACTTTCTTTATAAGCTTCTGCTTAACTGTAACAAAGGAACACATCTATACTTTACTCGATGCATGATTGATAATTGCTGATGGCCAGAACCTTTTAAAAAATTTCTTAAGAGCACTAGTCATCTCTCTGACATTAAAAAAATAATAGTAATAGAACTGAGAAAATGTTCTTCTTTATTTTTCCTCTTTCACATGTATGTGCGGCATGACTAATACTTCACATTACTATGGAATTCTAAACTGTGTGAATAAAATGACGGAGAAAGCGAAGTTGAGCAAAAAAGAAAAGAGTGGTGTGTGAAATTTAAAAAATGCAATGTGGCTGTTCATCCTTGACAAAACGGGTCTCTCAAAATAGTCTTAAACGTTGACACTTTGAATAACAATTAGGTTTTTATCTTAGAGTGCATATTCGTTATCTTACATACGACAAAATACACACACATTTCAATGGTACAGAACTCGTGCAGAATAACAAAAGGAAAAAGGTGTGTCAAATCAAAAAGCCGAAAGAGATCACTTCATCATTTTCTTTCTATGCGTTCCTGAGGAGGTGCAACATTAGAACTTCAAAATATTAAAGCCACAAAAATATGTACAATGAATTAATGAATGGTTGCTAGGTACACACTTATATTTATACGCGAGTAGCCTGTCCACAAACCTTGACCAGGTCAACGGAGGATTGTTGTACTATAGTGTGATGCTTTCGTTCACCAGTTTTTTTGAAAATTGCCCTATAGACATAGGATATTCTCCGATCTCTTTTTTGGCGGGCATAATTGTTAGATACATAATGCAACCATGATAATGAACCGAAATATTTTCCTTTAATTTTATTACGAAACTATCAAATGGATAACTACAGTAAAATGAAATATATCTGCTTGCTCCTGAACTGAAAATACA